AAAAAAAAGGCTTACATCAGCACCCTTCAATGCAGGCTTCGATTTGAATTGCTTTTCTTCTTCAGCCTACAAAAAGGCATGAGCTCCAAGCTTTATATACAACCGTCAATACTTACCAAGATACGAGCAGCTTCAGCCTTTCTTGCAGCCGCAGCAGCCTTTTATTTTGTTAATAATGACATATCAAATGTCAAACTATTTTACCTTCTTTTCTTCTTCTAGGTCCTTCTTGTTCTTTTTAGCGCCTTGAGACCACTTGGCAGATTCGGCAGCTTCGTTAGCAGCTGCCTTTGCTTTGTCTTTTTCTGCCTTTGCTGCGGCTTTTTTAGCATTGGCAGCTTCTGCTTTCGAATTGGTTCCCTTTTTGCCCATTTGAACACGTAATAAATGAAGAAAAAAGGAAAAAAAAAAAGAGTGACTTTGATTCTGACTAATTCAAGCAGAAAAAAAAGACATGAAAATGCATCTCCCTCTATTTTTTTTTTTTCTATATCTCTTTTTCTTTCTTTTTATTACTATGGAACAATTGGTAATAAATCCCTTTGTGAGGGAAGAAGAAAGGATGCTATGTAAAGATAGCGAAGGATGGGTAAGAGATCAAAAGTACAGAAAAAAAGGGCACATCAATAAACAGTTTCTTTAAGGGTCCGTTTTCAAACCAACGTGTACCAGATTTTACTCCATGCTTTGAGGACAGGTAAAATAAAATAAAAGAGAGAAGGATGAAGCTAACATTAAATATAGTATAATCACCTTTATTCCTTACATCTATGTGCTTGTTGCTGGTATGACTCGAATTTGGATACTTTCCAAAAGAGAACGATTACCAAAAAACCTGACAAACAATTGGCTTTATTTTGTAAAAATGGCAAGTATATACTTTTTATGTAATTTCTTAAACTTACACTTTGTAGTCTACTCTCCTCTTGATTCTTTTAACAACCACATCATCATTTATTGCTTCTATTCTTGATAAAGGTATCCAATGGATAGACAATATACAGATCATTGCTCAAGGAATTACTGTTATCATGACGGTAAGTTTAGCTCATATCAAAAAACACATGAAATAACCTCCGGATGTAGATCTTTGTTACCGTCTTACACCATGTCGAATACACTCGTAACCGCGTCTCATCTGCAGTGTTATTGTTCTATTGGCTATTTGTCAATATTGTCAATGGCGTCAAATTACGCACACACTGGCTTAGTCATGACGAGGATACACAGTTTATCCTTTTTGGTATTTATACTGCCTTATCCGTCATCATCTTTGTACTGGAAAACGTGCCAAAGCCAGTAGGACAATATATTTTGTTAGAAGAGGTATGACATAACTATATACTTTAAATATCCTGGGCTCATTCCTTTGCATTTATATAGCACGATTCACCTGAAGAAAAATCAAATATCTTTTCGAGATTGACCTTTAGTTGGATGACACCCTTGATGAGACTAGGCTACCAAAAACCATTAACGATGGATGATTTATGGTAGGATGATAAATGGATTAGTAAGCAAATGCTTATTTCTTGTTTTGGTAGGAATCTGAACACAGAGGATCAATCTGCAATTATTGGCACCAGATTTGAAAAGGATTGGGAAAAGGAGATGAAGAAGCCAAAGTAAGTCTTGTATATATATATATATATATACTTTGCTAATATTCTTCATGTAGTCCTTCTCTTTTACGTGTCCTCGTCAAGACGTTAGGTGGTCCATTCGCTTTAGCTGCAGTAAGTTGTATATAGACCACTTTTATAACAAACTAACGTGTTTATAGTTTTTTAAATTACTTCAAGACATCCTTCAGTTCACCCAGCCTATGCTTCTGAAGCAACTGATGCGCTGGGTCACGAGCTATACTACAGCTGACCCTGAACCTTCTTATGTCGGCATCTTTATTGCTGTCGGTATGTTCCTGACTGCTGTCTGCCAGACGATGTTCCTTCACCAGTACTTTCAACGCTGTTTCTCGACAGGCATGCGTCTTCGTGCCGCTCTTGTCACTGCAATTTATAGAAAGACATTGGTACTTAGTAACTCTAGTCGTCAAAAATCAACTGTGGGCGAGGCAAGTGTCTGTTTTGCTAATGATATCAAGTAACTAACCATGAATAATAGATTGTAAATCATATGAGTGTGGATGCTCAAAGACTCATGGACTTGTGTACCTATTTCCACATTGGTAAGTTGTTTTTTTTTTATATATGAAAAAATTGACGAACATGCTTTGAAAATAGTCTGGAGTGGTCCTTTACAGATCGTCATTGCCTTATTCTTGTTGTATAACACGATGGGACCTAGTGTGGGCGCTGGTCTTGCTGTGCTTATCTTGGCTATTCCATTAAACACCTATATCGCTCGCAAGATGCGTACTTACCAAAAGACGCAGATGGGCAACAAGGACGCAAGAGTCAAGTTGATGAACGAAATACTAAACGGCATTCGCGTGATCAAACTGTACGCCTGGGAAGCGCCCTTTTTGGAAAAGATCAATTTCATCCGTAACGATTTGGAACTAGCGACACTAAAGAAAATTGGTGTCTTATCCGCCGTTCAAAACTTCACATGGATGTCCGTTCCCTTCTTTGTATCGCTCTCGACGTTTGCTGTCTATGTGTCGATCTCAGACGTACCCTTGTCGAGCGACATTGCGTTTGTGGCAATTGCACTGTTTGGCTTGCTGCAGTTCCCATTGAACGTGTTCCCTAACGTGATCACGTCCATGATCGAAGCGTCTGTGTCCCTGTACCGTATCGAAAAATACCTTGCTTCTCCTGAACTCGATCCCCATGCGGTCACGCGCCTTGACTATCGACTCGACTCGGCCTACACATCCAGCACGCCCTTGGTCGAAATTAACCATGGCGAGTTTAAATGGAACGAAGAAGATCCTGAGCCTGTTTTGAAAGATATCAACTTGACCATCAAGAAAGGAGAATTGACGGCCGTCGTCGGTCGTGTGGGTGCTGGCAAATCGTCATTGATTAGCGCACTCCTGGGCGATACGATCAAAGTGGGTGGTGAAGTTATTCTGCGCGGTTCAGTTGCATATGTGCCTCAACAACCCTGGGTGATGAACGCGACGTTACGTGAGAACATTGTCTTTGGTCATCGATGGGACCCCGAGTTTTATGAAAGAGTTATTGAGGCTTGCTCACTCAAGACCGATATCTCCATCCTGAGCGGTGGCGATCAGACAGAGATTGGTGAGCGTGGTATTAACTTGTCCGGCGGTCAAAAGGCGCGTGTGTCATTGGCCCGCGCGATCTATGCTCGTGCAGACATTTACTTACTGGATGATCCTTTGAGTGCGGTGGATGCTCATGTAGGAAGACACATCTTTGACCATGTGATTGGCCCTGAAGGTATTCTCAAGAACAAGGCACGTGTACTAGTCACCCATGGTATTTCATTCTTGTCTCGTGCAGACCAAGTCATGATGCTTCGTAACGGACAGGTCGGTGCGATCGGTACTTACAACGATTTAATGAGTCAAAAGGCCGAACTGTACCAGCTTATCACTGACTTTGGCAAGAAATCCGCATCATCTGATGAATCTAGTGAAGACTTGAAGACCGTTGAAGGTCACGATGAAGACATCATTCATGAAGAAACGGCTTCTGTTGACCTGGTTCCCCGTGAAGAAGATGCTTCTTTAACCCGTCGTCGTCGTTTGAACAGTGAGGCGTCTATTATGAGTGCTGCAACACTTCGTCGCGCATCACTCGCCTCTTTGTCAAAGAAGAAGCACACGGCAAAGACAGATAATACACGTTTGATGACGGTTGAAGAGAGTGCAAAAGGTAGTGTCACCTGGGATGTTTACAAAGAATATGCCAAGTCCTGCTCCTTTTACGGCGTCATCGCTGTTCTCGGCCTCTTGGCTCTCTCTCAGCTTGCCTCTGTAGGCACCAATCTCTGGCTCAAACACTGGTCCTCTGTAAACCTAGAAACAGGCAACAACGACCGCGTATGGTTCTACTTGGGCATTTATGCCCTGATCGGTTGGTCCTCCACCATCCTCTCGATGATCCAAACACTAATCCTTTGGGTTTACTGTGCCATTCGTTCTGCTCGTGTCTTACACTCTAACATGCTCGATACCGTCATTCGATCACCCATGTCTTTCTTTGACACGACACCTCTGGGTCGTATCTTAAACAGATTCAGCAAGGATCAACACACGATTGACGAACTGTTGCCTCGAACCTTTAGCGGTTACTTCCGTGTTCTGTTTACTGTTATCTCAACCATCTTGATCATTGCCTTCTCTACACCTGCCTTTATGATCATGGTGCTTCCTTTGGGTGCCATTTACATCTACATCCAACGCTACTATCTGGCCACCTCTCGTGAACTCAAGCGTCTGGACTCTGTCGGTAAGAGCCCCATCTATTCTCATTTCCAAGAAACGATCTCAGGCGTATCGACGATCCGTGCCTACGAACAACAACGCCGCTTCATTTTCGAAAATGAAAACCGATTGGATGACAATCAGAGAGCGTACTATCCCTCGATCTCTTGTAATCGCTGGCTGGCCGTCCGTCTCGAATTTCTTGGCTCGATCATCATCCTCTGCGCTTCTCTTTTTGCTGTCCTTGGTATCCTGTACGGTGGATCGGCGATTGATGCCGGTCTCGTTGGTCTTTCTGTCTCTTATGCTCTTAGCGTCACGCAAGCCCTCAACTGGGTTATTCGCCAGTACTGTGAAATCGAAACCAACATCGTGTCAGTCGAACGCGTGAAGGAATATATTGACCTGCCTACTGAGAAATACAACGCTGTTCGTGGCGTGAGCCCCATGTGGCCAGAAAAGGGCGTGATTGAATTCCGTGACTATGCTACCCGCTACCGCCCTGGATTGGACCTGGCTCTCAGAAACCTCTCGTTCACGGTCGCAGCCAAAGAAAAGATTGGTATCGTCGGCCGCACAGGTGCTGGCAAGAGCTCGCTCAGCTTGAGTTTGTTCCGTATTGTCGAAGCCGCCAAGGGATCGATCTTTATTGACGGCGTCGATATTTCTAGCTTACGTCTGTTTGACCTTCGTTCACGATTGACGATTATTCCTCAAGACCCCGTCCTGTTTGCTGGTACCGTTCGTGAAAACTTGGATCCCTTTGGTGCCCACGACGATGCCCAGATCTGGCAGGCCTTGCAGCACTCACATCTTCATGAACATATCTCCAAGTTGGACGGTAAACTCAATGCAGTCGTTCTCGAAGGCGGTGAAAACTTTTCGGTCGGTCAGCGTCAGTTGATTTGTCTGGCCCGAGCGCTCCTTCGTCGTACGACGATTTTGATATTGGATGAAGCGACAGCCGCTGTAAGTTGATTTATTATAAAAACAAGCACTAGAACTAATTTTTTATTTTGATAGATTGATGTTGAAACAGATGCTATCATTCAAGAAACCATCCGTCATCAGTTTTCTCACTGCACTATTTTGACAATCGCTCACAGAATTAACACCGTCATGGACTCTGACCGCATCTTAGTCCTCGACAAAGGTAGCATTGCCGAGTTTGATGCTCCTGAGAAGCTGATACAAGATAAACAATCCATCTTTTACTCTATGGCAAAAGAAGCTGGACTCGTAAATTAGATGTCTTTGTATACATAATGTAAATTGAAACTTGCTTTATAATAAACTTGCTTGAAGGAACCAAGTCCATTTGATTTCCTTCTCCCGTTAAATTTACCACCTCTTTTTACTATTGATATACACATTGTTTATTTATATTCCAGTTTATAAACAGCAGTAGACTTGATGATTGTCAAATAAGCTTAGTTTTGTATATAATTCTTGGGCGTTACCGTCTTCAAGTAAGTATAATAATGTACGACTGCTCAAGTTGAACATGTCGAGATAAAGATTTGTAATGTACAAAGAGGGGATTCCAATGGCAAAAGAGACGTGATAACAAACATAAACGTGAGAAATGCTAGATTTCTGAAAAAAGTGATCGATATTGCTGATGTGATGATACACCTTGAAAATCCTTGCTCAGGAGTCAATTTAAAGATATAGCTTTAACCAGTTCATATCAATAATGGTTTTAAAACATTCATTTCTTCGTAATATGCAGGCTGCTTTTGATTTTGTGGATCCTAATCTCCCTCAGACTCAAAATATATATAAGCATACATAACACTCTACGTACACAGCTGTAGATATATTAAGGTAATATATTCACACTTAGTTTTTGATAGCTTTTACAAAAGTTGATACTTTTGCATATTTTTGAGTTATCAAAATGTTTTTAATAGACAGCCATTACTCTACTGTAAGCACTTTATTTGCAAAATGAGAGAAATATCTTTAACAGTCGCAAGTGTTGGCCTATCTCTGACAGAATTCTCTTTAACCTGTTATAAGCTATAATTTCTTTTTGGCGTTCGTTTTAATCAGCTCCATAGCTTCATCGGCTAAGCTGATGTTTTGGCGAAGGGAGTTTTGGACTAAATTTTACTCAGGCCTATCCGCTATGAATATTAGGTCAATTCTCAAAACCCTACGCAAGCCTTAACCCAGGGCTTATGTATTTCAATAATAAAAAGGTTTTGCTTAGAACACCCAGCCACTAACTCTAGAGACTTTATTTTTGGACAGAATCTCTTATATTGAACCTATCAGTATGTCTCTAATCTCTCCAAAAGTTACTTTATGTTCGTCATTTAGAAAAAGAAAAGAATACTATTACATGATTTATTTAAATGAATACCTTGTAAAAAGTTTGTTTGTTATTGGAGTATTTTGAGATAATGTATCTGCCAGTAGCAAATTGAACAGAGCTGCGTATGCAGCGTAAATCCCATTCTGTAATGAAGTATTCACAAGGATGAAGGTTATCTTTAATAAATCACTGCGATCTCTTCTGTCGGGCTATGTTACATTACTGTCTGGATAATGAATGACATTGATTTTCATATGTTGCGATATTCATCTTTGGGACACGCTGTATGACTAATCAATACCAATAAGCACGCACGGTCACTATCTTAGGCTAGCCTTGGTCCATAATGCGTAATTCTCACATAAATATTTATCCGACAAAAAAAAAAAGACAGTGATAACCCACAATGGCAGCTGATCTCATTCACACGCGTGGCTCCTTTTCATACTCTATATTTTGGATGTTGTGCTTTATTTTTGAAATTTTTACCAGCCAGGTCTACTTCGAGTTACTTGTGTGTACAAACGGACTTGTTAGTTTTTATTTACTTGCTTTTCACATAATCAATTTAAAAAGTGTGCATCCAACAGAAGCAATATAGATGAGAGAGGGTATATTTTTATATATTTTACTATTTTCCGATCTGATCGATATCAAGATTGAAAACGTGTGCAGTTCTCTCTCTGCCTATTCTCCTTGTCACAAATTCAAGGACCGTGTCTGGTTTCTTGTCTTGTTCGCTGCCTCAATCCAAGTTGCACTGCATAAAAGTGAACGGATTAAAAATATTAGACGTTGTGTTACAGTCAAATAAAATTTCGGAAGTGAAAGGAGCTGCCTTAAAGAGGCAATTTCCTACTTTTAAGCTCTGATATGGGAAAAAGAGGAATTCTCTTTAATAAAATAAAATGACCGAAAGAATTAACCTGAGTAACTAACGGAGCATGATCTACTTGAACAAGTCTTGGCAAAAAAGTTGACCAACCTGTGTCCAAAGAGTGTATTGAGGCATTGGTCCGTTTTGGATGAACATTGAATGGGCGCACTCTAATATATAATTTGGGAAGAAAGGGGCGTACAAAGCGCAAAATAAGGAAACGCTTTGATTTTTTTTTTACTTTGTTGTCATTGTGACTCTTGATCTACGTTTTCCAATGATGAAATAATAGAAAAACAACAAACAAAAAGTAAAGCAATGGATAAATAAAAAGAGAGAAAGAAAGAGAGAGAAAGAGAAAAAGAGTACGCGATTGGAATGACGCGTCTTGAAAATAAAGTCTATAAGCCATTGCTTTTCTTTTCATTTTCTTTTTCTATAACAGAATAAGCATGTTTTTTTATAATTAGGGTTTCACAATGAACTGCCAATCTTTTCATCCGCCCTACCAACCCCCCTGTCAAGATCCCCGCCCGGAATTGTTCTTTTTTTTTTTCATTAATATTACCCAATGGTTTGGTTGATTTGTCTAAATATAGTTCTTTAAATAAATCGAAAAAGATCGCCACTTGTAACTTTCATCCGAGATATATCTGACACCATATACTTTTGAGCGGATTTTTAAATGAGGGCTCAACATAGCTGTTGCATATTAGCGTTAGTGTAACCTTAATTCCGGAACACTAACTGTCTCTTAAATAGATTTTCTCCCCAGATATACCTAATTGTGAATTATAAATCCAGTAAAGAAGGAGTTAAAAGAGAAAGCTAGTTGAATGGTATTAATTGTTTAACCGAAACAACAACCGTGGAAAATAATAAAATTAGTTTAAGATGTGTGTTCTGTATAGTTTGCTATTCTAACGAACAGATAGGGCACCGGCCCTTTTCCCCTTTTGGACCACTCTTTCTCTCCTTCTATCATTTTCCTATCATGTATCATTCTTCCCCTTTCTTTATTGATATAGTCTTGAAATACGGATACTAATAGATTATGACTGGCTATTGTTGATTATAAATAAATAAAATAAAATTAAATGAAAAAACAGGGGGTAAGATTAACACTGTTTTATTAAAGTTTGAAATTCTTAGAATTCAAAAATTCTAAGAATAAAAAATAAAAAAAGAAACCCACCTATTAGATCAACCTTTTCAATTTCTTTATTTTTTCTTTTTTTTTAAAAATTATATCCAAGCAAAGAAAAATTAAAAAAAGGGAGAATATAAGTTTGACAGCCTGGGGTTTAGTTATTTCAAGGTCCCTTTAGGTTTGTTCCTCTCGACCACGTTGGAGTAAAACAGAAGCAACATATTGCTTTAGTAAAGATGATATAATATGTTGAGTATAGTAGTATATGTATATATAGACTTCAGGAAAGAAGAAAAAAAAAGTAAGAAAACAATATCAATCACCATAGCTTCAATAGTTTCTTCTTGTCGAGATTGATAAAGGACCTTATAAAGCTGAAGTGCAATAAAAACACATGTTCACCCTAGAGATAATCTTTAAATCAAACGCAATGAGGAAATAAGTTAAAGACAAGGTATGCAAACGAATTTACGCACTGAGAGGGCTTGCTTTCCAAAGATAGAGTTTCATTCTATGCGTGTGTGACAAACAATCGATTGCATATGAGCAAAAAAGCGAGAGGATAGGTGTTTGTGCGTATTGATGTGCAACATGCTACAGGAAAGCGTGTACACAAGGCTGAATCGTCATGGAACAAACCATGGCCCAGAAAGGTGGATCTTTAGCGCTTTATCTTCTAAATCTGTCAAATAGAATTATCGTCATACAATCAAGATTATATTAGCTGTATTTTTGTCAATGTTGTCAACATAAGGTTACTAGTCTCTCACTTGGCCGATCTGCTTTGGTTGCAAAACTGCAGTTATCATGACAAAAAATACATGCCCTCTTACTATAACATGATGGTTTTCTATATAGTCATTATAGCAACGTTTCTAAAAAAAAAAGTATACCTTCTTTTATTTTAAACTTTCTGTGATCTAACTTGTTCCTTATACGTAGCTCCATTTGAAATCGAGAGAGGATATATCAAAATACAATAGAGATTTTTTATGTAGACATATCCAAGTAACTTAACATCATTTATATACACTATTCAAACGCATTAGTGAACAAAATGTTTGATGGCTCAAGAGATCAGAGGAGACATCATCTGCAGTGTACAGATGAGCTGGCGTACATAGAACGTGAATTTGCATTTTTAAAAAAGCACGTGTAATCAATCAAAAGGAAAAAAAAGTGGCCGTAGCTTCTGTGTGGGTGTGTGTACAGATGAGTATAACGACGAAACCAAAAAAAGGAAGAGTGTCAATTAGGGCCTAAAATTTATCACGTACACATATTTTTGGATACAGTAGACATATTTTTATTTTAGAATATGGCATAGAGGAAAAACATAAAAAAAATATACAAACACATAAATATATAATAAATACAAACAACTTTAGGATATTGGCCTAATTTCAAGACGATGAATGACAACAGTATAGACACATTAATTTTCTGGTGATGTTGGACGAGGAGGAACAGGACGTGGAGGAGGCTTTGGATTATTGGGGCGTGGCCGTCTACATAGCAATTGAAATCGATCGTCCATTACAATCAATATTGGTTTTGTATAAAGTGTATAGCACAAAACAAAAAAATTTTGAACCTGCACACAAGATTTGGCGTTGTCTATACTACAATTAATGGAGAAATGGTATCATACATATATATTGTGTATTCAATGGGGTTCCAATCGTTTCTATATAGACATTAGCATACTGTGTCCAAAATGACAACCATTTACATTTTGAACTTTGTTGAATACAGTAAGAAGAGGATATGCAGTATATCAATCTATCTCTTTTTTTGTGTATCTTCTAGATTGGCTTGGGGGAAAGATGTAGACAGATATAAAGAAAAGAAAGAAGGAAAGTAGAATGAAAGAAATCTTGAAAAAGTTCGGTAATGGGTATTTATATAAAATTAGGAGGTTTAAATCTCTATTTGTTTTTGAAAAGTGGCACAATATGAGAGCCACGGATATCATGTAAGACTTTAAGAATGCTACTTGAAATATGTCAAACCATAAATAAAAAGATATATCATTGTCGAATTATACACCATTACTTAGTTGAAAGGCCAGTGTGAGCAATTGCACCTGCTCTCTTCTCAAATATGGTCAATTATTGTAGATAGTTGATAATCAGGGACCTTTCCTCTCTCTTTGCCAAGATCAAACAGCGACATTGGTTAATGTCACTAAATACCAAAGGCGTCATAGGAGAAGCGTGCCATCGTATGGTTTCCCAGTTTTTGGCCAATCCCCTCACATCGAGTCGTACACATATGAGTTAGAAAACAATAATACGTCTTTACTCGCACGTGCTCACTTTACCATTTTTCTCTTTTAGTTTTATTCCTTTTCATATTACCTTACTTGCGCTTATCATACGATGATACCCTGATTTGTGGTACAAATTAGGCCACTCAAATGGTGGTCATAGCTCCCCGTTCTCTCTCTCTCTCTCTTACTCTCTTGGCACTTGTCTTGGTCCAAGCAAGTAATTCTGGAAATACCATAGTTACACACACCTAACAACAGCTAACTTTTCGCCCTTCCAGGCATACACGTTAGGCTCTTTGACGCCACTTTTGGACTAATGACCTGTCTGCTGACGTTGCTTAGCAACCCATTAGATTCTGTAAAATTTCCTTGACTCAAAAAAGGAGAATAGATACATAAATGGTTACCTTCCTCATATGAACCTGGTTACATACTCCTCTTCGGCTCATTCTCCGCTTCTCGACCGTATATTCACCCCTCACCTTTTCCTCCTTTCCTTTCCCTTCTTTTTTTTCCACTTGTGTGTCTGTCAAAAGCCAGACCATCAATTATTATATCCAATCATGTGACAAGATCTTTTGATTGAAACGTCAATCTCGTACCACTTTTGTCATTTTTCTTATATTTGCGTACATGCACACACACACACCCGCGCACAGACACACATTTATACAAATTCACAAAACTTAATTAACGAGTATTAATACGCGAGATATGACAATAATTTATAGGATAAAAGGATCCTTTTTTTTTTGTCACTTACTTGTAAATTATTCGTCACTCTTTTAATGTATACCACTTGAATACCTTAAAAAGAAATCAAAAGAAAGAGAAAAACAAGAGTTTAGACCGTCTAGTAAAAAAGAAAGACAATGTTACTACTTTACATAATAAAACAAATTACGTCGGAAATTGAATTAAATAACGTGGTTCACATTGAGAGAGATAGCCTGATCTTTTTGTGTGATCAATGGTAGCATTGATGCTGCTTGTCTTCTTTTTTGTTTAGCCAATGATAAAGCTGAGAAAATAGATTATATAATGGCCTCATTCTCTTTTACCTTTTAATCTTTTCCTTTTTTCTCTGACCTTAAAAGAAGCATATGAAGCAAGTACTCAGTCAAACAGATTCACACAATTTACTGTTCAACATACAATTTTATGCTTATAACACCAGTGATTTTATCCTCACAAATTTCCAATTCATGGAGTAAAAATAGTAAAAGAAACACATAGGCGTCATGTTTTTATTATTAGAACAATTAAACATCAATAACTCGGCTTAATTTTTGAATTCTATTCAACAAGACATCGCCGTGCTTGATTACCGATTGGTACTGAGCGTTCTTTGCATCAGGTCTATTTGTTTCAATAATACCATTCACCTTATCAATAACGCAGTTAAGACGACCTGCTGCAATGAACTTGTACAGATCCCTAGTATAAAGGGTTAATACCGTGTCTCTTTAGTACATAGATATATATATATATTACCTATCAATATAATCTTCACTTACACCAAATGCTTGTGCCATACTGGCAACTGTCAAGGATCGATAACTTTCTAATAATTGAGCATAAGCCAAGATACGCATCTCACGAGTATAGTAACGCATGTGAGGCAATAGGTAACGCGAGGAACGCAAATGTGCCTCTTCAACTTTTGCTAATGAGCGGAAGAACTGTGAGTACTGACAGTTATATAGACTATTCATGTAATCTTCAAGGTGAGGAATATCAGAAATCACTTCCAAGACTTCAGGAGCGTCCAAGATCTAGATAAAAAATGATGAGCTTTGGGACGTACTTGTTTAAGAAAATTTACCTTCTTTTTGATATCTACACGTTTCATGCTGATTAAACTGGTCAAGACAGCGTATTTGACAAAATCTTGATAGGTCATAATCTCCGTGCTCGTGAATGTACTGAGGGTGTCGACAAAGAGGGCAGCCGCTCCTTTGAAATCACGAATGGACATTAAGTAGACACCTTCATACACCTTTAATCGATTGCGACGGTCCCAGTCACCACCTTGTTCAATCAGCTCTCGTAGTTTTTCAATGTTGGTACGGACAAGGTTGTTGTCGTTAAAAAAGAAACCAATACGAACAAAGGTAAAGATGATATCGATGCGTGTACCTGTCGTGATCGATCGCTTTAACAGAGAATCATAGGCGGCAAGCGCGCTTTCCTATACATACAAAATGATAAGAAAAGGAACAAAAAAAAATGCTCATGACATACTTTGTCACCAATTTTGGCATAGTAGTCTGCCTTTGCTAATAATGCTTCATTCACTTCTGTTTCGCCTTCATTCTGTTCGGCATTTTTGGCTTTTTCGTCCAATCGCTTCAACTCTTCTTCATTCTTTGCCACCATTTGATTATAAAAGGATTGGTCTAAGGGTACCTGTAATTCTTCAGCCATGATCTTGTAAAAAGGTGCCATGTCTAATATAGTAAATACATCAGCATGTTGTCCATGTTTAATATAAACTCCTTTTACTATTCTCTTTGATGGCCTCAAAAAGTTTTGTCTTGGATTCTTCCCTAAGTTCTACAGGACCTTGATTGATTAAGAAACGATAATGCTACACCAAAATATAAGCTATTTGTAACATTTTTGCTTTTTATCAACCTACAGCAAGGTAAAGGTCTGGGATTTTAGGAATTTGATTCTCGTCAGCAATGTTCGACATAAGGAAATTGGATGTAAGGAAAAAGTGTAAATGTTATTCATATGAGCAGGAAAGTTCGTCATTTTGATATTTTAAAGCTCAGTGACTGTGAACGCGTAATCCCCCCTCTCACTGCTTATTGTAGTTAGATGTGCAGTTATCTGAAGTTAAATTGCTTTTTTTTTTCTCTTTCTTCTCTTGTGTGTGTACTTCAATGGTCTCTACTACATCAACAACAAAATTTACACCTAGTCAAAAATTACAACAGGCTGATTTGTCAAAAGAAGCTAAACGGTTCGAAGAAGCCATAGAAACTTACAGAGATATTTTGGCTCAACCATCAAATAATGAAGAGATCATTAGAGAGCAAGAATATGCTCTTTCTCAATTAGGACAAGTTTATCGCGATCTTCAGTAAAGTATTATTTCAAAGAAAATGAAAAGCTAGATGTTAATTTATTTTAGCCTTTCTCAAGAACTCGCACAGTTAATTCGTTCCTCACGTCCTTTCATGTTGACCATTGCCAAAGCAAAGACAGCCAAACTTAGTAAGGACACAGAGAATAAGAAAAGAGTATACAATGTTTTAACATCATCTCTCTCTCTAGTTCGTACATTGGTGAATTACTTTAGTGACATTCCCAACTGTCTTCCGCTTCAAATTGAAATTTGCAAAGAAAACATTGATTGGTGCATTCAAGAGAAACGACTCTTTCTAAAGCAAGCATTAGAGACACGCTTGGTCGCACTCTACTTGGAAAACAAAATGTACCATGAGAGTTTGACATTGATTGCACAGCTCTTGAAGGAACTCAAACGCTTGGATGACAAAATGGTCCTTGTTGAGGTTCAGCTACTCGAGAGTCGTGTGTGTCATGCGCTGAGAAATTTGCCCAAGGCCCGTGCTGCCTTGACCTCAGCTCGTACTTCAGCCAATTCCATCTACTGTCCTCCACTCTTACAGGCTGCCTTGGACATGCAGTCAGGTATTCTGCATGCTGAAGATAAGGATTACAAGACAGCCTACTCTTACTTTTTTGAAACGTTTGAAGGGTTCTCGAGTCAAGATGATCCCAAGGCTGTCTTGGCCTTGAAGTACATGTTGTTATGTAAGATTATGCTCAATTTGGTAAGCGCTCTCTACGGCTATCCTTTTGGTATAATTAACCATTTCAAATAGACAGAGGATGTTCATTCCATCATTGGCGGTAAGGTGGCGTTACGATATGCTGGTACAGAGATTGAGGCTATGAAGGCAGTGGCTCAAGCTCACAAGAACAGAAACCTTCAAGAATTCGAAACAGCTTTAGCAACCTACACAAAAGGTAACAATAATAATAATAATAACAATAAACGACATATATTAACTTATAATTGCAGAATTAAACGATGATCCTATTATTCGTAACCAACTTGCAGCATTATATGACACCTTACTGGAACAAAATTTAGTTCGTATCATTGAACCTTTCTCTCGTGTAGAAATCAGTCATATTGCTGAAATGGTCAAGTTGCCTACACCACAAGTAGAGGCAAAGCTGTCTCAAATGATTTTGGATAAAAAGTTTCATGGTATCCTTGATCAAGGGGCAGGTTGCTTGATCGTGTTTGATGAGCCTGAAGAAGACAAGACGTATGAAAGTGCTGTGGAAACATTGAAGCAGGTTGATAAGGTTGTTTCTAGCTTATATCAAAAGGCAGCCAAACTTTCTTAAAAATAAAAAGACCTATTTTTTATTGTGAAAAATGAAATGAAGGGAGTTACATACACACAAGTTAAAACGAATGATATAGAAAAAAAAGAGAAAATTTTACAAGAGAGAGAGAAAGCTTCATTGATGTAGAGAGTCTAAAGTGAAATGTATGTGTTTTATATTACTGTTGAGCACACTGCACACCAGGACCGTGGTGATCATCTTCATCTTCATCATAAGCATTTTGGTTACGTCCAGATGGGCCTGTTTGGTAAGGCTGAGCATCAGCCATGACAACTTCATCGATATGTTTATCGCCAAAGGAAGGTAGAGCAGGACGAGGAGGTAAAATTTGTTCAAGAGCAGCAATATTTTCAGGTACGGTCCAGTTTGGTGGAGGGAAGTCAATGACGAATTTGATAAAGAGATGACCACGAGTGTGAGTGCGATGAGCGGGCATACCCTCATCAGGAATGACCTTCATCTCACCAGGTTTAATAGCTTCGCCTGGCAGTATGGATACCATGAGGACACGGTCATCAAGGTGAGGTATAGCAAATTTACCACCTGCGAGGGCTGTAAGGAGGTCAATCTTGGCTTCATAGACCAAGTCATCGCCCTGACGCTTAAAGTGAGGATGAGGCTTTTCGTCAATAACAATGATAATATCACCAGGAATGATATCAGGCGCCTGATCACCTTCGCCAGAGAAAGTAATTTTTTGTCCATCACGCATGCCTTTGTCAATATGGACTTCAAGGATCTTCTTTTCACCTACCACCTTCTTACCGCGGCATTCGGTACAGCGGTCCTTTTCGTCAATCACTTCACCAGTTGCTTGACAGTCACCACAGGGTTGTTGCATCTGTTGAATCATGGGCCCCATCTGACGAGTGATGATGCGGATACCTTGACCATTACAGGATTGACATTTACGAACTGCGCCTTCTTTACCACCCTTTCCGTTACATTTGGGACAAAGAATGTGTTTCTGAAGAGCCAATTTGCTGGTCTTGCCATTGTAAAGATCTTCAAGGCTCACTTTGAGAGCATGAACCATATCCTTGCCACGGCGAGGGCCACTAGGTCCACGACGACCACCGCCGAACCCTCCAAAGAATTGAGCAAAGAGGTCTTCCGCATCCATGCCGCCCATGCCAGGTCCTCCGTTCAGACCTTCTTCGCCAAACTGGTCATACATTTGACGTTTTTCAGGATCGGAAAGAATTTCATAAGCATGTGAGATTTCTTTAAATTTGTCACCAGCTTCCGGATTCTATTACAGAATTAATACATACATGTCGATTAGTGGTGTCAATCATATACCTTATCGGGGTGATATTTTAGTGCCAATTTTCTATAAGCCTTTTTAAGTTCACTTTCTGAAGCATCAGGTCCAACACCCAAAAGGTCGTAAAATTTTGTATCCTTGACCATTTTCTGCTAAATGTTGTTGTACACAAAGGATTTATTAAGAAAAAAAAAAAGGAAAGAAATAGAAGAGCCAAAAAAAAAGTTTCCTTAGCATTCTCCTTTGATATGATTGGCTAGATTTATGATTACTAAAAGTGGGAAGTTGTACGAATAACAATGCCAAAACTGGTTACACATTTATTGTTGTGCTTGGACACTTTCTGAAAGATGCCCTCTCTCTTTTTTTTTTGTTCCGGTGACGTAAGCTACACTTTTTTGCTGTTTATTGTTTATCAAAATAGGAAATGAAATGAGGCATGCGCTGTGACGTTGATGACATTAGAAGCAAAAAAACAAAAAGAAGATGTTCTTATAGAAACAAGCGTGATTGGATATGTACCATAAATTTTAAAAGAACGGTCGCTCACACCCCTCCCAGTGACCTTTGAAGGGCTACAAGTCGCTCTTTTGCCCCATTCACTATGTTTCTTTACTGAGAGAAACTTTTTTTTTGCATTTAATAATTTTTTTTCCTTTTTTTTTTTATTTTATTTTATTTTATTAGAAAACATATAAAACAAATATAAAACAATTAAAAAATTCAATTATGGCACTATCATTTTGCTACGCACCACCAATATCAACGCAATACATATTTGATGATCAGGATGAGCCAACGACGGTTCAAAAAGTCAGGGAGGCTTGTCAGCACATTAGTCTTGCTCGAGGATGTCAGATCAACTTGGTAACAAATACCAAAATAAAAGCATCCATGCCACTTCTCGATACACCTGGCTTTGGTTACAACATATCGATGACAGGTGGAGTACAAGATGCCCTTTTGAAGGCTCGCGGCGATTTACTTAACCAATCCTCGTTAAAGGTGAGGAATATACACCACAATATATTCGTGTGCTCAAAATTGATAACACCCTTATGATAGATAAAAATGACACTTCAGATCTCACTTGTCAGTGACATTTCAGCCGATCTTTTCACAGATCTTGTCAACTTGCTAAATGTCAAGATCAATGTCATTCCTCCAAAACAACGCCACTCTTCACTGTTATCGGACAATCCGACACGAATTGAAATGATTGGGCTACCTCAACAAGTAGAAGAGTGTCGTGTACGTGTGCTTGTCTTGTTAGATGAAAAGGTAATCAAAAACAATAAACCAAAAAAAAAAAAATTAAATTTCCGACATCGATGATAGAAAAACAACCTAAAGACAGATGTAGTGGAATTACCCTTAAAGCTACATTATTTGATATGTGGTAGAAAGCGCTGTGGTCTATTACCCATCATCGAAGAGACATCCACCAATATATATTTCCCTTCACCTTTCCTCCAACGACCTTCTTCTGAGGATGATGACTATAAAGCCAAGATTTACATCACAGGCGAAAAGTCAAGTCAGGTTGCACGAGTGAAGGATATGCTGAATAAACTCGCAGTTCAAAAGGTAAACAATCATTATACCAAATGTGTACATGTATATGCATTTATACATCCCATATAGGCCAAATCCATGTATCACAAGGATACAGATTTGTCTTCGAGGAAAATAGACTGGCTTTTATTACATCGTCGTGATGACTTACGTAAAATAATGCACGACAATGGTAACTATGATGTACCCATAGAAACCAAACACGGTCTAATTTTACTTCTTTAGGTGCCTACATCCTCTTTCCTCCTCTCGGCTCCGGCAAGACCAAGATCACAGTCTATGCAGAAAATCGAGTGAACGCCGAACGTACGCTCCGTTCACTCAACCTGCAAGCCTGTAGTATCTACGAGGCCTCGTTTTACTTTAACCATACTGAAGACACAGAGTCTCTCGAAAATCGTGCATCCTTCTTCAACTCGCCTCTTCACTTAGCCACCTTTGTATCTGATCTTTCGCGCATCTCTGGCTCCGAAGTGCTCTACAGGGCCGAACAGAGTTGCATCGAGGTCTTGGGCTCTGAAAGAGCCATTCGCAACGTGTATCAGCGTCTTCAAGAGATGCAATTCCTTCAAATTTTCCATCATCAAACAATCTTCCGAGTTGAATCATCCAATGACCACCGTGACTTCATTTCGGGCAAGAAGAACGGCAAAATCAACAAGATCATGCGCACTTCAGGCGCCAAAATCAAGTTTTCATCATCCATCAACGACTACAATTTTGTGATCGAGGTTGAGAGCACCAGTTTCACCAAGGCTCTTGACGGACTCACCTTGCTCCAGGAAGAACTCCCTGCCGAAATTTCATTTTATGTTCCAGAATCTTATCATAAGCGAATCATTGGCGTTGGCGGGAAAAACATTCAACGGATTATGAAACGGTATGGCGTGTTTGTCAAATTTTCAAACACCGAAGAATTTGCCGCCCTAGGTGGATACTACAACAATGAGGACAACGTGGTTGCAAGAACACCAATGAAGAACCAGATCAATTTGGATAATCTCAGGCACGCTGTCATGGAACTAGTGCAGCCCAAGGACAGAAGCTATGTGAACAAGCATGTCAAGGTGCCCTTTACATTACATCGTGAGCTGATCCACAAGTATCAGGCAGACTATATCTCGGAAGACATTGGCAAAAAGACAAACACACGCGTGCTCTGGCCAGATAACGAGTTGGGTTGCAACTATGTCACCCTTCTGGGCCCCGAAGCTCATATTCCCACTGCATGCTCTATGCTCGAAAGCATTGTACCCGAAATCTATCACCTCTACGTACCCCGCTCATTCCCAAGCTTGATTTCCTCTGATGCATTTCAGGAAAAGGTCGTTTCCGATTTTCTCCAGAAATACCAGATTAAAGTAGATACGTTACCCTATGCGAATGAGGATGGTGTCATCCGGCTGCACCTCAAGCTCAATCAAATAGAAACAGACTTGCCAGACGCTCTTAGTGTGCTTGTTGAACATTTGAAAGAACATGATATTACCTTGAACGAAGACGACAAGACAATGCCTACCATGGATCTTTCGTATATCTTATCTTCTACTAATGTGCTCGATAACCCTTTACCTTGGACCCCTGTCACTCAGGATATCGACGGCCCCATACCTTCAGCTTCGACCTCTGCTCAGTCCTCGAGTGGCTCTATGCCTGATAACAGTAATCTTCGATCCATTTTCAATTCCCTGCCTTTAGATGAACCTGTCGTTCCCGGATACACTGGATTAACTCCCGGTGGTGGAATTTGGACTCCTTCAAGATTTTAATATATACAATTTTATACATACTCTCTCTTTCTCTCGTAAACATATATTTCTCTCTTTTTTTTCCCTTTTTTATATACATAAATACAAGTTAATAGTAATTAGTTTATTAAATTCAAAAACGGATAAAAAAAATGTAAAACTTGGTGAGTGTGCTGTTTCTGTGGTATTTACACATCTGCAGCTTTCTGTTAATAAAAAGTCGTTTCTCAACATAAACTGCAAACAAAGGGTAATGGCTATTGTGCTTATAATACGGTTAAACAATCTTTTTATTAAACCCAAGTGGGCACGTAGTACTCCTTAGTTTATACTGGAATTAGAAAAAAAAATATGCAAGTAACACAAGCATTTTACCGCATAAAACCCGGAATAGCACAAACATTTTATCGCACAAAAGCCGGATTAATAAAGAAAAGGACTGTTTTTTACCATCTGTATCGGACCGAACACGCGACGCATAAGCACACATGTTTTATTGCCACTGCTGTACCTTGATCCTGTTTTACTCTTTTTTTT